AACACTATAATAAATAACAAAAGAGTTAATAATTGGTAGAAATGTGTAAAACCTGTAACAAGGTAGTGTCACAAATCTTGAGATACTTACTATGTGCCAATCACTTTCTTTGTATTTCCTTCCATTTGATCTCCTCCGAACATTCTTGCAATACCAAAATCAGAAATTTTCGGATTTAAATCCTTATCTAACAGAATATTGCTTGTTTTAAGATCTCTATGTATGATTCTTAACCGAGAATCTTGATGAAGATAGAGAAGTCCTCGAACAATTCCAAATATAATGTGAAAACGTTGTGGGCCAATCCAGAGATTTACTTTGTCGAAAATCTGTCAAGTTTCATAGTTATATTAAATCTGAACTTGAAACAAATTAAGACTTTCATAAAGCTGGGTTTCAAATTTTTTCGAAAACATACCAAAAAGAATGGTATCTAAACTTTTGTTGGGCATGTATTCATAGATGAGCATTTTCTCCTCTCTTTGAATGCAACAGCCAAGGACTTTAACAAGATTCCGGTGTTGAAGTTTCGCACACATTATAACTTCATTCTTGAATTCTTCCGATCCTTGTCTAGATGCCTCAGATAACCTTTTGACAGCAATCTCTTGCCCATCTCCCAGTGTACCCTGAAAAATTGACATTCAAAGAAGACTAAATCATGATAAATAGGAGGGCACTGTTTTTTTCTTCTATCTAGAGATGTTGCATATATACCCTGTATACAGGTCCAAAACCACCTTGGCCAAGCTTCTTGTCACTTGAGAAATCATTAGTGGCACGAACAATTGTGGCAACGTCAAAGAAAGGCAACTCCATGTCTTCTTGCTCTCCTTCGTGACTATTCCCGGTCAAAATTTTCTCTGTATCATGTCAAGCAACACTAATAATCTCACCATAATAAAGTACAAAATAGAGGACTTCTAGCATATTGCCACTTAGCCAATAGTAATCAGAAACCAAGACTCTTTCATGCTTCCCTGTCAATGTAATAACTGGTGTGAGATTCACACTGAACACTTGTCAAGTGAATGAAAGTGACAGCTCAATCTTGCAGTGACATGCTTCGGAGATGGTTTTGGACAACTAAAGTTATCTTAGAATCATAATTTGCAGATGGGACTAACATTGAACGAAAATATGTGATTAATCAAATGCATTGTAAATTTAACATCATCTAATGCCTTGACAACACATCCATGTTTTAAAAAAACAGTAATTTTCCCCTTCCAGAAAATGAGATTGCAGGCAGCTGGAAGAACATAGGATGGGGATTTGCTGTCAGTTTTGCAAGCTTCGCTTATAATGAATCCAGTTTCTACTTAAAGGAAATAATAAATAAGATCGTAGTCATTTCATATATAGATCAGCTGCTGAAAGAAATTTCACAAAAATGAATGAATTCATGGAAAGATCATCTGGTTAAGGAAGTGTACCTCTTTGCTTTCTATTCTTCCATGAACGGAAAAGAAGGCCAAAAGCATCATGAGAACCAAGGAAAAAGTAACTGTTGTTCCCACGACAACCTTTTTCTTATGCTTTTCTGCATCTTCTAGTACTGATTGAGGGAGGAATGAACCAGCACACCATCAATATACTGAGAAATGAAGTAATAGAGCACCAATAGAAAGATTGAAAGTTCATACCAGTATCAGAATAAGCCATTCGAATAAAAAGATCTTGCGAAGGGACTGTAGCCACTCTCAAATCAATAAGATCATCAAACCAAAGGATACAACCACTGCCTCCTGCAGTAATGTACAAGTTTGCATAAGCCTTGCAGGAACAATTTTCCCAGCATTTAGCCTTGCACTCCGAAAGTCTCATACTTGCATTAACCCAAGATGTTCTTGTATCTGGCATTTTTAGCCCATTAAATTTTCTGAAACCATCTTTTTCTCTGACCCTACAGCGCCATGGTTCACTGCGCACACATCCCTGAGTCCAGTCCAATGCATCATACTTTTGAGGTGATTTTGGCTTGAATCCTGTTAAACACTGGCAACGTGGTGATTCACTTGCAATACAATTTCCATTGGGGCCACAAGGATTATAACTGTCACAGTTATCTTTTGGTATAGATGAATAAAGTATCCAACTTTTGGTTTGTTCATCCCAGATGTAACGCTGACGAAAATAAACAGTTTGGTTTAGAACAACTCTTGTAATCACAGATTTGTCCTGGAGATTAGAAGTGTAAACCACCTGATGCAAAACCAAAAGAAATGAAACGAAGATGGTCAAACAATTCAAACATCAGTTTCTTTTGTTATCTATGAGACATTTATGAAACATGAATTTGCATAACCACCACCTCGTCTTCATTGACGACAAATTGCAGCTGGAAAAGGGGAGTGGTTTTGCCACCAATGCTGACTCCGTTCCAAGGGCCACTTCTTTGAAATTCTTCTGAGCCCTTCCACATTACTAACTCAGGAATAGGACCAAGGGCGACACCACAAGTGAAGTCTCCAGGAGATGGGTCATCCCAGTTCCTCCAAGCTGTTAGGCGTCGATTCAGCCTAGTTTCAGGTCCCACCCTATCTTCATTCCTGGTAAAAATGTATCAGAGGGATAATCAAACTCTGCCATAGGTAGTTTTGAGGATTCTGGTCTTGTTCATTCCTCAGTACTAGGTTCCTGAGTCTAGAAGCTGTGCAATGGGATTCAAGCCTTGTATCGTTGAGTTTGCTGCCAAATAATAGTCTGGTTCCGGCTGAGAAGCACAAGACGTCCCTCAGTGTTTATGCTCAACATACCTGAGTTGTCTTTGACTGGTTTTTCACGGTTGGCCACCCAAACAACAGTTTTCTGGGGGATGCTCTTGTACCAAATTCCAACATATCGGTGTGTGGAGCCACCAGGGCTGAAGAAGCCCAATTCAAAGATCCCATCTTTAGACACCAAGGTCCTTCCATCAGGGAGCGGCTGATCATGAGTAATAACATCAGATGCAGAAGAAAAGGGAGGGAAGATCAATAGCAGTTTTGTAACAGCAACTATAAGAGAAAGAATGGCCATTATTTTTCTTATATTCAATTCAGAAGATCTCTCAATGCGGAAAGAGGAAAATATGCATACGATTTTGAATGAAGGAAATTTGAATTGCCAAAGCTGGTACTCTGACACAAAAGTAGTGGTGGAGAGAAGGAGGGTGCAGGTGAATAATTTGACCAGGAACTAAGAATTGACAGATAATAAACGATTCTTCAGAGTTCAAACGACCAAAAACTTGAGCTATTCTGGTTCTTCATTTATAGCATATTGCCATGTATCAAAAATCGCTTCCCATCTCTGTCAATCAGGTAGTCGTAATGAACAATGAATTAAAGCGTGTCTACTACTCTATATGAAACCCAGGTGAAGCCTCTTCGGAAAAGTCAAAGAAACAATGAATGTCTTGGAGGAAAACTACAGACAAATATCATTGAAGACCTTTACAATTGCAGAAGCTTGGGTCAGGCGTGTTTCACACGTGTGTTGGAAGAATCGGATCCTGAAAGGATGTAGACATGTGGTCTTTGATGTTGATACAATAACCAAGAGGGGGGGGGGGGGGGGGAAGCCGCCTTGTGAACTGTGAACTTCACTCTACTGCCGTTCTTCCCAAAAACACAGCGTAAGAGGATCCAGTAACGCGGGGAGGTTTGTTAAAAAGCACCTCACATTCGACGAGGAAAATACATGAAAGAAATTTGGGACGATGAGATGAACTGATTTTTTTCCCAATAAATCACGTAGCGATCATTCTAACCAAGCTATTAATATGAAATCCAGTTTATTAATCTAGGAAGATTAAAAATTTAAATAAATTATTTTAAAATATTATATTTATTGCTTTTGTCTAAACTAATTTGTCTGGCTTAATATACTTCCTGATCCTTAATATAAAAGCTGGATAATTAGTTTAAAAAATTAGTGAAGTTAGTTATTTATAATAAATATGTGTTTACTTTTCTAAATGATCCTTATGTAATCATGTATATTAAAACTACTTTTTGCTGAAAACACCTCACAAGCAACAAATATATTTGGAGAAAACATAATAAATTTGAGAGATAAAGTTGATTAAAATATTATATTCAAAATTAAGTCTAAGCTTCAGGCTAGTTCTTATATTTAGGACTGGACGTAGTTTAATCTAATTATACATACAAGTATTTTAAAAAGATTACGTAACATGTGTTATAATTAAGTAATTTTTTTTATCTTCCTTAATTTTCTAAGTGGGTAAGTTGTAGTAGAGAATTTGAATTGGCAGCCTCACAATTAATTTAATGGAAGTATTAGATGTCATTAAGTTACAAAACGCAAAACAAACAAACAAAACTATTTGTCTTGCAAGGGGACGAATCGCCATCTATCCCATCTCCAGATCAACAGATTTTAGGTTCATAGAATTCAGCTAATATCAATCCAATTATATATATGCTTTATGCCTTATCACGTTTAGGAATTTAGAGCTCCACTTTCATATTTGATGTCAGATTCATTTAACGGGATACATTTTGGGACCCATTTACTTTAATTCAGTGCCTTATTTTTAAAGTCTTTTTAGCTGGCCAAAGTGTTATTTTTAAAGTTAGAGTTCTTTACATTACATTGATCTATGTATTCTACTAAAATGGTGCTTGAGTCAAACATGAAGCCTCGTATTCTGCTGCAATCAACGCTTACTGGTTAAGCTTTTTTTTTTTTTTTATAGTTTTAGACATAGCGTACATTTATTTTGAAAAAAAAGATCACATTAAGTCTAAAGAAATGGTAGATTGTAATGTATTAATTAGTTATAACATTTAATTGGTAAATATAAAAATAAATATATTTTATTTCCAAATTTAAAATATATAAAAGAAAACGAACCTAAATAAAGTAAAATATATTCATATCATATATATTTTTATCCAAAATGTTTATATAAATTTAAAAAAACATAAAAATCATTTATAAATAAAGTAAAATAGATAAGATACTTGTACATTTAGAGTATGTTTAGATTAGCGTTGGGCAAAACTGACTTATAGTCCAACTAACTTTTATAACTGAAATTAGAGTAAAAGTCAGTTAGTATAATGCGATTTATGTTTAGATAGGTGTTTATAAAAAGTCAGTGGAAAAAGTTGAAAGTCGTTTGGATAATTAATAGAAAAGTTAGTTTAATTATAAAATGACTGAAAAAGGCATTAACTTTATTGAGTAGTAGTGTTTGAAATTTTGTTTTTTAAGGTGATAATAGTTTAAAAAAATACATAAAATTTATGATAAAATATAAATAGTTTATTTGTGAAATTATAAAATAAAAATATTTGTTACGGAGAAAATTTGAAAACACATTGTAGATAATTAACTAAATATACATAATAGACAAACATGAATATAAATTAAAATTCATTTAGTCTCTAATTAAAGTAAATGAAATCATATAATTAATTAGATCGTAAGTTTTGTATAATTTTTTCATAAGTCAGTTAGAAAAGTTAATCCAAATTGTGTTAAATAAGTCAGTTAAAAAAGTTACTTTTTTCTATAAGTCAGTTAGAAAAGAAGCCACATCCAAACAATTTTCTGAGTCAAATAAATCACAAACCTCAGTTTCACACTTCCCCGTATACTTTTATCATTCCCAACAGTAATCCAAACGAGCCCTTAATTCTTAAAAAACTTCATATTAAAACAGCACACAACCCTAACACAATAATTTAATGTCTTCACGGTGGCCAGTGCATTTTTAATCCTTAAAATTAAACACTCATTATTCTCCTAAAAATCATTTTAAAAGTGTTTTTCACGTAGTTTGAGACGCAGTATTTTTCACATATTTATTTCTCATAAAATTATTTTTAGAATAATAGTTCAGTTTCCGGCCAAACAATATTCAAGATAAAATTCCTGACGCGTTCTTTTACTTTTACATGACATCATTCAACATATTCCCATGTTACGTCAAATCGTCAATAATGAGGTGGCAGGTTTTTGGTCCATGCTTATTAGGGTTTGTTTGGATTGACTTATAAGTAGCTTTTCAAATGTGATTTACGGAATACGAGGTAAGTATGTGAAGAGAGTTTTGTCTCGGTTTACGTGAACTTGCTTAAGGGTCCGTTTGGATCAGCGATTGGAAAAGTAGCTTATTGAAAAAGTAGCTTATGAAGAAGTGAAGTTGGTAAAAGCTAAATTGGATAAGCTGAATTGTGTTTGGATTAGAGTTCAGAAAAGCTAGTTTGTAAAAGTGAGATTGGTAAAAGATTGTTTGGATAATGGTTGAGTAAAAGTAGGTTTGGTTGTAAAATGACCAAAATAAATATGAGTTTTAGTAAATAATGAAACATGATTAAAAAAATGATTTCACATAATACAATGAAATTAAAATAATTTAATATGAAGAAATCAAATTTAATGAATGAATTAAATTTTAAAATTTTAGAGAAATCATAAAAAAATTTGTAAATATAAACTGGAACATAATAAAAAAATAAGTTCATATAATACAATAAATTTAAATTAATTTAATATGAAAAAATGAATTTGAATGAGTAAATTAAATTTTCAAATATTAGAGAAATTATAAAAAATTATTGTATTTTGTTGACTAGGCAGACTTTTGACAAAAAATCATCCATGTGGCATCTGAGTGACTTACATGACAACATGTGTTTTATTGATTTTCTCCCCAAACAAAAATTCATCGCATAATATGGGGAAAATTTTTTCTAAAAGATCTTGACTTTTAACAGTTTAACTTCATCATTGAACTGCTGGTCAAAAAACTTCATCACGGAATTGGGAGAAAAAAATACAATCGACCCCCAAACCATGATCGACGCCCTGAATCGTGAAGAGGAGTTTGCTCTTAAGCTCGCAAGGCAGACGTAACGGAGCTTCTGGCAAGGAGGCGACAGAGCTAGTCCAACGGCAGAGACGGGTCATGGGTTTAATGAGCTCTGGTCGAAAAAAAGAGAGTGAACAATAAGAGAATAATGAAAGGAGTGAGAGAATAATGGAAGCAGAATAACTCTGACAAGATAACAGACCATCTCTCGTTTTTTTTTTTCCGCCACAAGCTCTTCTGGGTTAAGCATAAGCTCCTTCCTCTAGCTTATGGCAATTGGATGTAGAATCAGGCTTTTGGCACATAAGCCCAATTGGAAAAAAGTGAATCCAAACAGGTCCACATTGTAACCCAGCTTATTTTAAAATTTAAGCTGATTTTAAGCTCAATTTAAGTGAATCCAAACAGGTACTAAAAGCCCGTTTTGAACGGAGCTCCAACAACGCCCTTAATCTCTCCGCCTCCGCTCTTTATGACTTTATCATGGTTTTCACATTCGTACTTTATTTTCTTGGTGGGATGCCTAAATTCCACAACAACTTTCTGAACTTTGAATTGTTTTTTTATTTTAATTTTTTTTATAACTTTTCAAGTTTAACGTAACTAATTAATCTATCTTCTCAAGCTTTAGATATATATATATATTTTCATATAATAATCATTTACTCTATATATAATATAATAGGATTGCATGCACGTAATTTTTACTATTATTTATAAATCATGAATTATTTAGCTTGTATCAAATTCTGCTGTATGAAGCTAAGCAGAAAGTCTAATTTAGCTGGCTATTTGTTTATAAGCTAAAATAAAGGCCAGATTTTATAAGAATGAACATTTCACATAAACAAATGTTAACAAATACTAGCTTCCCGACTTAATATAAAAGCTAGTTAATAAATAAGTTTAATCTTAAATATAAGAACTCAACACATTTTGTGTATCAAATTTATAATTTATTTTTCAAAATATTCCTATTGGTTACACATATTAAGAGGATTTTCATCCAAAGTAGTAATGACTAAAATACTTTAAAAAAATCAACATCATAACTAAAAGAATATTTTTAAAAAATTAACTATTTGTTACAAATAGCGTATTAACTAACTTGCTTAATTTATATGAATTAGTCAAGTATAAGTAACTTTATGGGTGTGGGGCAGAAAAAACTTCTATGGGAGGTAGTAACTTTATTGGTGGATTACGTCCATTTATGCACTTGATGGAGATAATAATTAATTGCCCGTGACTTTCCTATATTACTAGTATTTATCACTTTATATGAATATTTTTGACTTTGAATGATGTTATTTAATTCTATATGGAATCCTATGACATGATAATTAAATCGTTGAATTGCAAATAATTGACATTTATTTTTTCTTGCCAGGAGTTGCGAGATATTATCATGCCGGCTTTCTCTAGTCTATATTCACATCAAAACTTGCCAAGTCTGACTTCGCTTCAGCTTCCTTTCCCAGTACATACTACCTCCTATCATTATTTTTATGTTGGTCCTAAATATAAGACCTCAATCTATTTTGTATTTCATATTTACTTAATTTTTTTCAAAATAGTCTGTCTAGTAATTATAGTTTTAATCAATATACTTGATTAGTAAAGACATTTTAAAAAAAACAACATTTATTTATTTATTATAAATAACTAACTTAGTTAATTGGCTCTTAGGACACGAGAGAGTACTACACATTTACGCATGTCTGAACTTGCCTCTTTCAAGTTCTAAGGATCATCCATGGCCATTCTTCTTCCTCTCATCCTCGCTTTCATCATTTCATGCTCACTTTCTTCTGCAACTGATACTCTTACGCAGTCTCATTCACTTGTTGATGACGCAAACGGAACCACCACCTTGGTGTCCAGCGACGGAACCTTCGAACTCGGTTTCTTCTCCCCCGGCTCTTCCTCAAACCGCTACCTTGGCATCTGGTACAAAAATATCCCTGATACGACCGTCGTCTGGGTGGCCAACCGCCAAACGCCGCTCAGGAACGACACCAACTTCACAACGCCGAGTCGTTTGAGCATAACCGACGAGGGAGGTCTTGTGCTCCTCAGCCAAAACGGCACCGTGGTTTGGTCGGCAAACACGACGGTGAACAATCAAGGCGTAAGTGTTGTTGCGCAGCTTTTGGATTCAGGGAACTTGGTTCTGAGAAATGCACAGGATGAGGTTGATGTTGTTGATGATGCGAAGTATATATGGCAGAGTTTTGATTATCCGAGCGATACGTTTTTGCCTGGAATGAAGATTGGGTGGGATCTGAGAAGAGGGATTAACAGGGAATTGACGGCGTGGAAAAGTTGGGACGATCCTTCTGTCGGAGACTTGAGATGGGGTATGGTGGTCGGAGTGACGCCGGAGCTGGTGATGTGGAAGGGAGAAGAAGAGTATTATCGGAGTGGTCCTTGGAATGGAGTTATTTTCAGTGGGAAAACTACGCCAATCTTTGAGCTTCAGTTCGTCTCTACTCAAGATGAGGTATTCAATTTTCCCAAGTTTCACAAAACATTGTTTACTTTAGAACTTTGATTCAACTTTTTAAACATGTCAAAGCTAGTTTTAGGATGTTAAAATCGTTGCTAAGATATGAAGTACGAGTGAACCGACTTAATATAGGAAGAAATGATTTTTTTTTTTTGGGGAAATTTTGAGCGTTTTCTTTGTTTTTTTTTTTTTTCGGTTTCAATATAGATATAGATTATAGAAAGATGCCAGTCTATGTCACGTGTATCATATTACCGTCTCATTGATTCGGCCGAACAAAGTATTCCGGGTAGCAATTTGTTCTTTTCCCAATGTTTTTTTAAATTTTAATTAATAATTAATAGTAAATTATAGTTTGAGCGAAATGTTATGGATGGCCTTCAAATCCAAGCAAATAATAGTCACCTTCCTATTTTTTTGGGAAATTATTTTTGGTAAATCTAACGAGACTCCTTCGTTTTCTTTCTCGTGGTTCGGCGCAAGGTGGTTTACACTTCCAAGCTGCAGAACAAATCGGTGATCACAAGGGTTGTATTGAACGGAACTACTTCTTATCGTCAGCGCTATAACTGGGTTGAGCAAACTAAAAGCTGGAGGCTTTACTCATCTGTGCCCAGAGATAATTGTGACAACTACAATCTCTGTGGCCCCTATGGAAATTGCATAGTTAATGACTCTCCCCCCTGCCAGTGTCTCTCAGGGTTCAAGCCAAAATCACCCCAAAACTACAGTGCTTTGGACTGGACCCAGGGATGTGTTCGCAGTGAATCTTGGAGCTGTGGGGTAAAAAATAGAGATGGGTTTCGAAGATTCAGTGGGTTGAAAATTCCTGACACTAGAAAAGCTTGGGTTAATGCAAGCATGACACTTGGGGATTGCAGAATGAAATGCTTGGCAAATTGTTCCTGTACTGCTTATGCAAACTTGTATGTTACTGGGGGAGGTATTGGGTGTTTGATTTGGTTTGGTGAACTTATTGATTTGAGAGTGGCTTCCACTCCTGGGCAAGATCTATATATTCGAATGGCTGCCGCGGAAACTGGTATGAACTCTGATCTTTCAATCGCTGAAAACCCCATTTTGGTTCTCCTATATTATTTGAGTGCCGATTGGTTCCTCTAAAGATTTTTCAGCAACTAGAAATTTTGATCACTTGATACACGTTATCTTTTTAGTGTCTCACTAGTCTTGTAGACAGTTGAGTGGAGTGCGCGAACAATGAACTGAAATTGGTAATTGCGAATGTCCTTGTGTCAGTATGAAATTGAAAAAAGTACTCTTTTGAAGACTAAAATGAATTGTTAAAACTTCGGGGGGATTATACTGAAACAAGATGCACCTTTAGAGGTTTAAAATATCAATTCATTTAGGATTTGTACTATAAAGTTTGCTTTTGTTTTGACTCCATATTTCATCTGATCCTCAAATGAAGGACTGCGATTTTAGTATCCACAGAGTAACACATTTTAATATATTTTTTTTGGGCTATGAAACTGAAACAAAGCTATCCTTGTAGGTATTAAAGTTATCAAACAGAACCTTTGAAGAAGCTAGTTGATAGTTAGGTGACATTGGATAATGGGAGTTTAGTCTTCTTCTTCTTCTTCAGTGTACTTTGTGCTGATTCATTTCTCTGTCAAAATTTTAAAGATGCAAAAGGGCACAAGAAAATGGTAGGCATTGTGGTGACAGCGGTTACTGTTCCATTGGTTTTTCTGGCGCTTTTGGCTCTCTCTTGCACTCATTGGAGGAAAAGAGGGCGCAGAGGTAAATTTTGTTATTTGCTATATTTTATTCATCATCTAAACTATCTGGCATGAGCATTAAACTATCTGTTGGCGTTGCTTCCTTTTTTAGTCGCCGTGTAACATACAATGCACTTTATTAATCTCACTCCCACAATGTTTCATCCATGGTTAATCTCTCATCTGCCTATGATGTTCATAAGGTGAACCTCCTTTATGGAAGGCCAGTTTCCAAACTTGTGATATTTAGGATAGGTTGTTGCTTCCATGGACGTGACACTTGAATGATTAAGAAAAGTCTTGCATTTGGTGGCACAACTCAAGATTTTTCCTTCAAAAGAAAGTACCTCTTTTATGATGTTGAACTTGTTTGGTCAATACAGAGAAAACCTCCCTAGAGAATAACAGTGAAGGTGAACAAGAGGACTTAGACCTGCCATTCTACGACCTTGCTACAATTGTCCATGCCACTAATGACTTCTCAAATGACAAGAAGCTTGGCCAAGGTGGTTTTGGACCAGTATACAAGGTATGTGTATTTATGCGCACACACTCATGAGTATATCTATATACCAGCAACATGCCTGTTAAGGACAAAGGGCAGTCCATCCTTTCATTCATCACGCTTGAATTTTCCTTAAAAATTTTTTTAGGGTATTTTAGCAGATGGACAAGAGATTGCTATCAAGAGGCTATCACAGAGCTCTGGACAAGGAACGAAAGAATTTAAGAATGAAGTGTCATTGTGTGCAAAACTTCAACACCGAAATCTTGTCAAGGTTCTTGGTTGTTGCATCCAAGGAGAAGAGAAGATGCTCATCTATGAATACATGCCCAACAAAAGCCTAGACAACTTTTTATTTGGTCCGTGTATATGCAGAATCTTGTCTTTAGCAGAATGGTATGCTTTCATTTATATCACGTCCAAACTTAAAATAATTTACTGACTTAACAGATTCCAGGCAGAGCAAATTCCTAGACTGGCCAAGGCGCTTTCATATCATATTTGGAATTGCTCGAGGGCTTCTCTATCTTCACCAAGATTCTAGATTACGGATTATACATAGAGATCTTAAAGCAAGTAACATTTTGTTAGATGGGCAGATGAACCCGAAAATTTCAGATTTTGGCATGGCAAGAATGTTTGGTGGTGATCAAATTGAAGGGAATACAAATAGAATAGCTGGTACCTAGTAAGTCCTAAATTATTGCCTTGCATTTTCTATTTTCTATCAACTATTAAAGAATATTAACTCATTTTTAATTTCTTTCAGTGGTTATATGTCACCAGAATATGCCATTCATGGGTTATTCTCCATTAAATCGGATGTGTTTAGCTTTGGCATGTTATTATTGGAAATAGTAAGTGGAAAGAAAAACCGAGGAGCTTCTTATCCAAACCAGGGTTTTAACCTTATTGGACATGTGAGTAACTAACTTCATTTTCTGTTCTTTGTGTTATTCAAAGTTAAATATTAAATATTATATATAAAATCTTGACAAATGTGTAATATTCAAATTTTAGTTTTTGAACTTTTATTTTGTGATTTAATCTCAAAAGCAAACATAGTTGCCAATATTTTGTCGTCCATGCAGATTTTAAATGTCATTTGAATTAGATATATAACAACACTAAAGTTATGGTTGAAAAGAAATTTTTTTTTAATGTTTCACCAATAGGGAGGATCTAGAAGCTAATCTGGGGGTGGGGGGCACAATGCGAAACTACAGCAAAGTTTTTTTTTTTTTTTTTGGAGGGGGTGGTGGGCCGGGGAATAAAATTAGTTTAACATTCTTTGCAAAATAAGATCAAACGAGTTTTAAAAATTTTTAGTAACATGGTGGGCAAGCACCCCTGCTCTCTCGACCAACCCCCCCCCCCCCCCCAAAAAAAAAAATTGTCCCTCCTGACAAAGAGGGATTTTGGTCTTTTGTCCCACTTTGCTCCATGCTCCCCCTCTATGATCCCAATCTCGTCTAAGCTAAAAGGTAATTTTGTTTCTCTTGATGAGTATCAAACATGTCTGGACACTATATGATGCTGTCAGAAGATACATGTGTATACATGTAAATATGGTTTCTGTTGCTGCATATATATATATTAATCTATTACTTTTGTGCGGATCATAATGTCATTGATGCTTCGTTTTTTTCCCCCCTCAAGGCATGGAGACTGTGGAAGGATGGCAACCCACTGGAATTAATTGATGGCTGTTTGGGGGAAGCTTTTAACTCATCAGAAGCACTGCGCTGTATTCGGGTTGGTCTTCTGTGTATGCAACTGCATCCTGAGGATAGGCCAGACATGGCCTCAGTAATTGTGATGTTGAGTAGTGAGAATGTGTTGTCTCAGCCTAAGGAGCCTGGTTTCTTGATAGAGAGGATTATGGTGGGAGAGGGATGTGCTTCTTCTGGCAACCAGATATCTTCTTCAACTAATGAAGTAACTGTGACTCAGTTGGAGGCCAGATAAGGTGTTATCTTACTTCTTACTATATGATGCATATGGAAGCATTTCATTTTGTTTTCTCATTGTATATTCTATGGAAATTAATCATTCTTGTAGATTGTTGGTGTAAATATAGTATCTTAAATTGGTTGTGGTGATATGCAAGTTAGATGCTGAGTGAGATTTTTTGCTTTGTTCTTTCCTCATCTGTTGTGGACATATTGAATTAAACTTCAATATAGCTCTTTACCAATTGATCAATTCTCTTTTTTTTTTTTTTTTTTTTTTTGGGTAAAAGCTCTCAAGTTATTTCTTAACATTTGATTTTATTGGTGACCTACTTATCTTTGCCTATAGATAATGATCCGGCACATTTTCATCATGAATTGTATGAGTGGCTGGAGTGACACCAATGTTAGATCCTGACTCGTATATTTTTGAGATTTTCGTTTTGTATGATTTTTTCTCTTAAATGTATTTAAAAAAAAAACTAGAAGTCATCCATTCCCTGGTTAAAATTCCTGCTATGCAGGATTGATATATGCACATTAATCCAGAAAAAACAGCATGAAGCACAATAACTTTCCTTTGGCCTACATTTTCCCCAACTACTCTCTAATGATGGACGTATATGTAGAATGTGTAGGGTTGTAAATTGCGAAGTGGCAAAAAGTAAAATATTGTCCATCAAATACAATTTTGCACAACGAGATGCAGTCTGAAGGATGAAGATTGTAACCTAGGTATGCTGTTGATCTGTGCAATACGTTTCTCTCTACATTTCATGTATATGCCAGAAAACAACATGGAGCAATACAAAATTGTAAGCAATATCACTAAGAGTTGTTTATACCAATATATATCACTTGCTTTTGTTAAAAATCGCTAATCATGTATTCAATACAAAAAGTTAAGCAAAGCAATTGTTTATATGGGCTCTGTTTCAGTTGTAGAAAATTCATTCATTGAAGCTGGCATGTGGTTGCTGGCAGAAGATTCACTTCTAATTGTTGGCATATTTTCTAAAAGAAAGCTAGACTCTTTAGGTTGAGGCAAGTCATCCTCACGGCTTAACATCACAGCCACATATGTCATGTTTGGCCTATCATTAGGATGGTGTTTTAATACTTCTGATTCAATACAAGACTCTTCCAAATGCGCATCAATCAATTTTTGTGGGATTCCCTCCTTTCACAATCTCCATGCTTGCAACCATCCCAAACATCTATCAATTGCCAGTTCATTAAAGATAAGAATGAAGTTAGGCTACAAGTTACTAACATGCTTGATAAGATTATGACTTTGGTTTGGTAAGCAGAACCTTCCATTCTTCTTTCCACTCACTATTTCCAATAGTAATATTCCAAAATTGAGTACATCAGACTTCATGAAAAATGATCCCTTGATTGAGTATTTTGATGCCATATAACCATTGAAATAAGTCATCAATGAGTTAATATTGTCTTCAATAATGTCTACAAATACAAATCATTATGTAACTTTAAGTGATACTTATTATGTACCAACAATTCTTCTTCTATTTTCTTCAATTTGATCGCTTCCAAAGATCCTTGCCAATCCAAAATCTAATATTTTGGATTCAACTTATTCTTTAGTAATAAATTACTTGCTTTGAGATCTCTATGAATGATTCTCAATCTCGAGTCTTGATGAAGATTACATAAGCCTCGAGCAATTCCATATATAACATAAAAGCATTTGGACCAATTTAAGAGTTTTCTTTGAGGGGAAGAACCTGTAAAGTTAAAAAAGTAAAAATTAGTTGTTATCCGAGCTGAGTTTACAGAAATTGATAAATATACAAATGTATGAACAAAAAATAAACGAATCTAAACTCTTATTGGGCATGTATTCATAAATGAGTATTTGTTCTTTTCCTTGGATGCAACAACCGAGAATTTTAACAAGATTTTGATGCTGAAGTTTGGCGTAGGATATAGCTTCATTCTTGAATTCTTTTATTCCTTGATTAGAATTTTTTGAAAGTCGCTTGACAGCAATCTCCTGGCCATCAACTAACATGCCCTAACCATTAAAAAAACATTGTCATATATGACATCATATCTTAAAGGACTAAAATCACTTTCTTTACTCTTGTTTATCAGTTCATCGCAAGTTACCTTTTACGCCGGTCCGAAACCACCTTGGCCAAGCTTATTGTCAATTGAGAAGTTGTCGGTAGCACAAGCTTTTATATCAAAGTTATAGAAAGGAAGCTCCATATCTCCCCTAGCAGTGTCTTCATCATTAAGTTCTATGGACAAAGTTCTATGAGTTTTCACTGAAACAAGCCATAAAACATACATGATTTTTTTCCTAAGCATATATGCACACTAACAGAATTCAAAATTTGTCCTTTTATACCCTTTAAAAGATAAACCAAAAACAAAAAGGGCAGTTGAGCATAAGAATGTTTACCTCCAGATTTTCTTCTCTTATAAATACAGTAGAAAGTGAAAAGCATCACAAGAGCTGCCAAAATGGTAGCTGCTATGACAATTCTCTTTCTCTTGTTTTCATTAGCACCTTCACGGTTAGCTTCGCAATGTAGCCAATGCACAAAAAGTGAGTTAGCTAAGCTCCCAGAAAGTGAATAGACAAGTAATGAAAGATGTATATTACCTAATTTTTTATCCGTACCCGCAAGGCTAGGATATAGATTTTGGCCAACATTTGACATTTGATTTATGTCAATAAGATCCCCAAACCACATGGCACAGCCACGACCTCCTCCCCTGATATCTGAATTAGCATAAGCAGTACAAGAACATTTTTCCCAGGATTTGGCTTTACGCTCCTCAAGCGTCATACTTGCATTGACCCAAGTATGTGTAGCATCTGGTCATTTCAACCCACTAAATTTAAGAAAAGTGTCTTTACCTTTCACGTTACAGTTCCACTGGTCACTACGAACACACCTTTCTGTCCAGTCAAACGTGTCCCAATTTTTGGGTGATTTTGGATTGAATCCTCTCAAGCATTGGCAATTGGATAATTCAATGATACAAATTCCACTCGAGCCGCAAGTATTGTACTTTTCGCGGTTATCTCTTGGTAAATCACCAAAGATTTCTAACTTTGAGTATCTTCAACCCATATCAACCTTTGCATTGCATATTTTGTTTGGTTCAAGACATCTATAAAAATCTCAGACTCATTGTTGGGAGTGTACATGAAAGTAGACCTCATCCTTTGGATACCAACGCTATATTGCTGTTCACTGCAGAAGAACCACTAAATGAAACACCATTCCAAGGGCTTATCCTGTAATATTCTGTGAGCCCTTGCCAGAAAACCTTTTCTGGTAAATTGTGAAGCATGAGCTCGCTTCTAAAGTCTCCTGCAGAAGGGTCATCCCAGTTCTTCCATGCTGTCAAATACCGATTAGGACCAGTTCTTAGGTTCCATCCTACCTTCATTCCTGGCAATAATGTATCAGAAGGATAGTCAAAACTCTGCCACATGTAGTTTTCTGGATTCTGGTCTTTCTCATCTCTTAGTACCAAGTTTCCAGAGCCTAAAAGTTGGACAATTGGACTCGATGCCTTTCCTGTTGAATTCGCCAACCAAACAAGTGTGTCATTATTGTTCACAAGTACTAGGTTTCCCTCTTTGTTTATGATAAACTTTCCTGAACTGTGTTTCATTGGGTTTTCACGGTTGGCAACCCAAACAACAGTTCTTACTGTTTTGCTTTTGAACCAGATTCCAATATAGCGATGTGGACGGCTACCTGGGCCGAAAAATCCCACTTCGTACTTTCCATTGTCAGACACTAAGGTGGTTCTTCCATCATCAACAAGTGGCTGAGATTGTGTGATAATATTAATATCAGATGAAGAGGCCACTGGAAGGAGGAAGATAGTAAGCAGATTGGTGAGAAGAAGCACACAAGGAGGGATGGCCATGGCTTTAACGAAGGTGTTGTAAAATTCAAAGGTATATATGGAAATGATGTAGGAGGATATAAGTGTAGAAGAAGCACGTTGATTGACTTCTGATGGGTCACATAAATCTCATAAGTCGTCAGATACGAGTATATAACTATATATAGGGAAAGGTGGCAAGAGATAGAAAACGGTTCGTTTCTGTAATGCTTTAAGTCAAAATCTGCTAGCTGCCTAAGTTTCCACTGTGGATATTGGTTTTTGAATTCCTCCTATTTTTTCGTAGTCTCCAGTAAGAGTTAGGAAAATTTTATTTAAGAAATTCCGTGACATACGAAAAAACTATAGTATTTTTACTAAGAGATTGCCAGTGTATCTTAAAATTATAACCCGTTTTTCTCAAAGTTTAATATAATTAAATATTTAGCTTGTGATCTTTCCTTTCCTATCTTTTGCGCTTTCTTTCCGCATAGATATCTTTTTAGTGAAGAAATTTTATTCAAGACACTAAATGTAGACACCTTTTCCCAGTAGGCATTTGAATCTTGATTCATCACGTTGTGAGCAACTAACCCGTTCTACTATATATATATATATTTGCCTCTATTTGGTTGGAGGAATATGGAGGAGAATATAAATTTTAATGGGTTTAATTAGTTTTTTTTTTATAAAAAAAGTGAGGCAAAAATTTTTTAATTAATTTTTTTATAATGTTCTCTTGTATGTTTTTTTATTAAAATTTTATAATCATATTTGTGTTACTTTTAAATTGAATTCATTAAAATTTTTCCTCTATTCTATTCCCCTCCTCCTAGAAAAGGTTGAACCACCTGATTAAGCTTTCTTCGCAAATAATTAAAAGCAAAAATATTATATTTTTCTGGTCGAGTCCTTCCCCCCTACTCTATCGGCTGTAATTATATAGATCGAAAACATGTCTGACAAATTCAGAACATTCTACATGAGAAAATGAAATAATTTAAACAGAAAAGGTCCCAAAAATTAAAAAAAGAAAAAGCAAAGAGAAGAGTTCAGGGGATGTTATAAGTCCCAGCTACTACTTTTTCAAGGCTAATTCTGATAGAAGTTTTAGTGCACAAACTATTTGCACAATATATAGATATACAAATAGTACTAAGGCAAAAGACTTTGACGCACACAGAACATGAAGCACTCTTTTGGGTTGGGTAGTTAACATAAATACCCACAAAGAAAATAGCGAGTTGGAGTATTTTTAATGCCTTTGATTTGTCTGGGTGCCAGTTTGTTCAATGGAAATTGATTGAATTGTAAGAAACATGTCAAATTAGGAGCATATTTAGAATCAAGGTCATCTTTATCTGTTGCAAATAGCCAGTCTTAAGAGTATGCTCAATATCAGTATATACAACATATAAGCAACATATTATAGAAGTACAAAGCCACAAGCACTATGCCCAACCTGGCTTGCTTTATTGCAATTTGCTAATATTCTTGTATTTTCAGTGTTATTTGTTCTATATAGCAGTATAAACAATATGGAAAAAACAATTGTTTATCTGGGCTCTAATTCAGTGATGGAAATTCTATTCATTGAATCTATTGTGTGATTGCAATTATATGATTCTGCATTGATTGGGATATATTCCAAGAGGAAACCAGGCTCTTTAGGTTGAGGCAAGTCACCCTCACTACTTAACATCACAACCACAGATGCCATGTTTGGTCTGTCATTAGGATTGTGTTGCACACAAAGAAGACCAATATGAAGGCATCGTAATACTTCTAGTTCAATACAAGATTCTTCCACATTTGCATCAATGAATTTATTTGGGATTCCTTCCTTCCACAACCTCCATGCCTACAATAATTCCAAAATGTCTATCAATTACTAGTTTATTAAAGATAAATGTATGAAATTTAGTTGCTAGCTACCAACATGTCCAACAAGATTGAGACTTTGGTTTGGTGAGGAGAATCCTCTGTTTTTCTTTCCACTCACTATCTCCAGTAGTAATATTCCAAAACTGAATACATCAGATTTTGTAGAAAATAACCCATAGATTGCATATTCAGGTGCCATATAACCACTGAAAAATAAGTAATAAGTGAGTTTTCTATAGTCTTCAATAACATGTTAAACCAAAAAAGCACAATATAATTAAGAGATACTCACTATGTGCCAACAATTCTCTTTGTATTCTCTTCAATTTGATCTCTTCCAAAAATCTTTGCCAAACCAAAATCGGAGATCTTTGGATTCAATTCATTGTCAAGTAATATATTACTTGCTTTAAGATCTCTGTGAATAATTCTTAATCTTGAATCCTGATGAAGATACAAAAGACCTCTAGCAATCCCACATATAATGTAAAATCGTTGTGACCAATTTAGAGGTGTAGTTTGGGTAGAAGAGCCTATAAAAATTGCAAATGACAAAAGAAATTAATTTTTATCCAAGTTGGCATAAAATTATAAATACATAAATATATGTAGAGTACAAACCAAAAATAAACAAATCCAAACTCTTATTAGGCATGTACTCATATATCAGCATTTTCTCCTCTCCTTGGATGCAACATCCAAGAACTTTAGCTAGATTACGATGTTGAAGTTTGGCACATAATATAACTTCATTCTTGAATTCTTCCATTCCTTGGTGAGAGTTCTGTGATAGTCTCTTGATAGCAATCTCTTGTCCATCATTTAATATACCCTAATCATGTGTATTTTAAACAAATAATGTTATCTATGACATAATAAATAAAAAAATTACAAATACACGTTTGCTCATCTTTGTTGGTTTATTACAAGTTTACCTTGTATACTGGTCCAAAACCACCTTGTCCAAGCATATTGTCAATGGAGAAGTTATGCGTAGCATTAGCTATTATTGTAAAGTCAAAGAGAGGAAGCTCCAAATCTTCTTCCGAGCTTTCATCGTTATTTGCTATTGCCAACACAGTTACTCAATTTATCGCTCCAGAAAATTAAACGGCACAAATATAACATATTTTTCTTTTTCAAAACATGATTTCACTTTGCCTAATCTGGTTGAATTCCAAACTTGACCTTTTACATTCTTTAAAAGAGAGAAAGAAAACAAAAGTGTTATCAAAAAAGAAAGAAAGAAAGAAAGAAAACAAAAAGAAAAGGCAATTGATCTTAAGAAAATGTTGCTTACCTTTAGGTTTTCTTTTGCTCCTATAAATATAGAATGTGAGAAGCATCACAAGAACTCCAGAAACGGTAACTGAGATCACAATTATCTTTATATTGTATTCATTATTACCTTCATGGTTAGCTTCACATAGAAATGAACAAATATATAGTGAATGTACAGCAAATTGAGATAACTAAACACCCCAAAAAAAAAAAAATGTAGAGAAGAATAGATAATCAATGAAAGGATATAATACCTAGTTCTGCAGAAGCAATTCGAATATACAAATCTTGACCAACATCATTTGACATTTGTTTCATATCAGTAAGATTACCAAACCACATGACACAACCACTACCTCCTCTTCTGATATCCGAATTAGCATAAGCAGTACAAGAACAATTTTCCCAACATTTGGCTTTGCACTCCTCAAGTGTCATACTTGTATTGACCCAAGATTTTGTAATATCTGGTAATTTCAGGCCACTAAATTTAAGGAAACTGTCTTTACCTTTCACCTTACAGCTCCATAGTTCACTGTGAACACACCCTCCTGTCCAATCAAACATTTCCCAGTTTTTGGGTGATTTTGGCTTGAATCCCTTCAAGCACTGGCATATAGCTGTATCAACGATGATGCAATTTCCAAATGCACCACAAAGATTATATATTTCACAATTATCTCTTGGTATATCACCAAAAGATTTCCATGTTTTTCCATCTTCAATCCACACAAGCCTCTGCAAAGCGTGCTTTGTTTGGTTTAAAACTCTTATAGAAACCTCTGACTCATTGTCGGGAGTGTATATGAAATAAACCTCGTCTTCATTGGAAACCAATGTTAAGTTATTATGAACTAATTCTTCCATCGTTGTAGGAGTGCCACTAAAATCAAGACCATTCCATGGGCCACTTCTGTGATACTCTGTGGAGCCTTCCCATAAGACCATTTCTGGTAAATTGTGAAGCATGAGTTCACTTCTGAAGTCTCCTGGAGAAGGATCATCCCAACTTTTCCATGCCGTTAAATGTCGATTAAGACCAGTTCTAAGGTCCCATCCAAACTTAATTCCTGGCAAAAGAGTATCAGAAGGATAATCAAAACTCTGCCACAAGTAGTTTTGTGGACTGATCTGGTCTTGTTCATCCTTCAGAACCAAATTTCCAGAGTCTAGAAGTTGTACGATTGGACTTGAAGCTTTTTTGGTTGAATTTGCTAACCAAACAACAGTCTCGTTCTGGCTTAGAAGCACAAGGTTTCCTTCTGTGTTAATGCTCAGCTTCCCTGAATTACCTTTGACTGGTTTTTCACGGTTGGCAACCCAAACAATCCTTCTAGTTGGGATGTTCTTGAACCAGATTCCGATGTATCGGTTTGTGGAACTACCTGGGCTGAAAAAACCTAGCTCGAACTTTCCATTTTCAGACACCAAGGTGGTTGTTCCGCCGTCAACCAGTGGCTGAGATTGTGTAATAATATCAACAGCAGTGGCTAATAACGAAGACAACAATAGAACCATAATGGTATAACTATAAACATGCGCACAAAGAAGGATGGCCATTGATTTGTTCAAAGCGTGGCCAAGTTACCTATATATATATATATATATATTTATATATATGTACACATACGTATAGAAATCATCTATGTTGAGGAAGTAAGCGCAAGAAAGGTTGAACAAAGCACGTTGATTGACTTGGACCGTTGAATGTCGCAAGGAAGAGTGATGACTACTTCAAAAAAATATGGAATATGGTCTTTTATAGAGAGGGTATTCTTTTTTGTATTTACAATTTATAAATTATAGTATTAAAATTTTCACATGAATGCACAATTATACCTTTTATTGATTATTTATGAAAAGAGGTCATTAAAATATAAAAAAATATATTAAAGAGAGATTAAGTTAGAATATTATTAAATTTTAAGATAAAATTAAGCAGATTTAAGATTTTTCTTCTTTCAATGGAGTATATTAGAAGTGTTTTATCAATGAGGCAAGGACGAAGTGTATTTAGGAGCGAAAAAGGAACCTATGCAAAGGTTGACTAAAACATGTGGCCAAGATGATAAGGAAAATAGCATTCCAACTATCTTACGTTGTTCATTATTCTTCGGTATTGTTGACAGCTTAATTTTTAATTTAACTACGAGAGACTTTTCTTTATATGAAATTAAATAAGCAAAATTTCAAACTTACATAAGCCATTCATTGATTTAATTAATCTTATGAAATAGCGAATCTCACAAATTGAAATTAAATAAAAAGTAAGATAAAAATGATATAAGAAAGAAATAAATGCAGTTAACAAAAACGACGTGTTTGGACAATGAGAATCAAATATCTTGTAGGAATGTTAATTACGCTATAGTAAGGACTTTTAATTTGGAATATGTTAAATAACGACCTAAGTTGTTGGTTGGACTTTTTTTTTTTTTGAATTAATTTTTGCCGTGTCTATGCTTATAATATTTTGAAGACTTATCTTTAATTATTTCAATACTGAGCTTTGATACTTTTGTAGTTTTATTACTCTCAGATACATTGACAATTTTTTATATATATAATATAAAAATTTTAGCAGGCTCAAATGATCATGAATTCATTAAAATACTCTCTTCTTGTTGAAGTTGTATGGGTCTCACTTTCAATGGCAAATTCAATAAGATTTTCTTACCCAGATATTTTATTATATTCCCTTATTAAGTAAACTAATGGTATAATTAAAAAATAATCCTTATTTTATTATTACCCGCCTTAGCCTTATCTTTTAAGTTGAATAGTCTCCACGTATTCTCTCTGTTTTTTTTTTTTTAAGATAACACTCATGCATTTCTTCGTGGACA